AACTCTATGGCACATAACAACAACAACAACAACAACAACCAAAAAAAATAAGGCCCCAGGAATCAATGGAATGGCAGTTGACTTGTTTTGATTAACAGATACAGCCTTGGATGCACTCACCAGTCTATGTCAGGAAATTTGAAGGACAGCTATCTGGCCAATGGCTTGGAAGAGGCCTATATTTACTCCTATTTTCAAGAAGGGTAATCCAACTGAATGTGGAAATTAATGAACAATATCACTGACATCACATGCAAGCAAAATACTGCTAAAGATCATTCGAAAACAGCTAGAAGTACATAGATAAGGAACTGCCAGAAGTTCAAGTAGGATTTAGAAGAGGCCGTGGCACCAGGGATATCATTGTTGATGTTAGATGGGTCCTGGCTGAAAGTAAGGAATACCAGAAGAGTGTCTATTTGTGCTTTGTTGACTATGCAAAGGCATTTGACTGTGTGGATCATGACAAGTTGTGGCTGACATTGAGAAGAATGGGAGTCCCAAAGCACTTAATTGTGCTCATGAAGAACTTGTACCTGGGAAAGGAGGCTATTGTGTGAATGAAGCAGGGGAGCACTACATGGTTTGGAATTGGAAAGAAGAGCATCAGGGATGTATTCCATCTCCATACCTATTCAATCTATATGCTGAGCAAATTATCAGAGAAGCCAGACTCTATGAAGAGGAGTGTAGCATCAGGATTAGAGGGAGAATCATCAATAACCTACGTTATGGAGATGACACAATCTTATTTGACAAAAGTGAGGAGTAACTTGAAACACTTGTTGCAGAAATTGAAGGAATGCAGCCTTCAGTATATATTGTGTCTCAGTAATAAGAAAACAAAGATTCTTACCACTGGACCAATAAGCAGTGTTATGATGGATGGAGAGGAAATGGAAACTGTCAATAGCTTCATCTTGCTTGAATTCACAATTAATACCCTTGCTATGAGCACTCGGGAAATGTATTGCACTGGGAAAGTCTGCAGTTAGGGACCTTTCCTAATTATTGAGGACTAGTGATGAGTGTTTGAGAACTAAGTTGCATCTGGTTCAGGCCATGGTCTTTCCAATTACTAGCTATGTGTCTAAGACTTAGACAATGAATAAGGATGACAGAAAAAGAATTAATGCCTTTGAGCTGTGGTGTTGGAGAAGAGCACTCAACATTCCATGGACAGCCAAGAAAATGAATAAGTATGTCTTGGAGAGGGTGCAGCCAGAGTGCTCTCTGGAGGAAAGAAGGGTGAGGCTTCACCTCACATACTTTGGACATGTTGCTAGGAGGTGCTATTCCTTGGAGAGGGACATGGTGTTGGGAAGGGTGAGTGAAGAAAAGGAAGACCCTCAACCAGGTGGACT